CACGGCCTCTCAGCCTCACCTACCTCAGAGGGTTGTTGTGATGATGTACATGGGGGGAAGGAAGAGAATTATGAAAGCCATCTTGGGGTTCTTGCAGGAAAATGGCAAGACAAGAATAGGAGGAGGAGCTGAAACTGGTGGACATGCCCATTTCTAGCTCGTCACACAACTGCAGTTATGTCGGGCTGAGAGCTGGTGGAAGGAAGGGAGGACTCTTGCTATTGCTTGGCTGTGCTGGCTTAGGGTACAACCCTGCGCAGGTTTAAACAGAAAAAGGCAAAGGACTACAACTCCCAGCATTCCCCACCTGCGGCATGCTAGGGCATGCTGGGAAACGTAGACCTGTTTCTTGGCCCGAACTTGATAGGATTGTGCCTTTGGACTTTTTTTAATGCTGCAGTCCCGTGTGCGTCTATCAGTGGGATTTACTTCTGAGTAAACCTGCACAGGCATGTGCTCCAAGCAAGCCTTTCATCCTCCATAGGAAAAACTGGGTGGCTTCACACCACACGACAAACAATGCTTCCATTTTCCCTATTTATTTAATTATTAGATTTCAATCCCACCCTTTCCTTTCCTTTCCTTTCCTTTCCTTTCCTTTCCTTTCCACTGTTGGCATGTATCCCATCAGTAACTGCACCTAAAATTCAATCCCAAGATGCACTGCTCCCTGCCTACGTCACCTGCCTGTTCCTCATTGGTCTACGCATAGAAGGTAGATGGCTGCAGTAGCTCCCCAACTGCCTCTCTTTCCAGGGGAATCCTGTGGTAGTTGCATAGTAGGATCGTGGAAGCCATGATCCTGTGTTCAGATGACATGACAAGCCATGGTGGGACTGAGAAACCATAGAACAAACCATTGTTTCTCATCATGGTTTGTAAAGACCCAGCTTTCCATGATGAAATTGGCATCTTCTACCCCCACCATTATCATCAGAATGCCTATTTCAGTTATTTCTGTCCTGCTTTTATGAAGAAGGAAACAATATTAAATCTTGACGCATGTTTAGAGAGAAAGAAATCCAGCAACTCCCCAGATGTTGCACGAGAGTCTTCTGTCTAACGTGGCCAGACTTTGCCCTTAGCTGCAAGAACACGAGCCATCAAAACGTGGAGGAATGAAAGATTCTCAGAGCCAGGATCAGGTCAGATGGCGCGTACCCTTACATTGCGTGTGGTCCCAAAGCTGCCCAGTGTGATCTGGGGTGGGGACACAGGATTCCTTGGCTCCCCAGCGCCGAGGCTGAGTCCGTGGCCTGCGCCCTTGCATTGGGCACGGAGTCACACTCAGCCTGTCCTTGCAGAAAGTCACTGTGGGTCATGAATCTACATGTCACTCTGTTCCTTGGGAGCTTTAGACGTGGGTCCTGAAACACCCAGCTCGGTCTTGGACCAGGAGTGTCACAAGCAACTCTGGAAGGGGGTGAATGTGGAGGCTTTCGCCTTTCCCTGCATGGTTGATTTCCATGCAAGTATCTGCATACACGACCTCGAAAGTCAAGAACCCCCAGGGGCAGCCCTAGGGTTATTTAGTTTATTTTCTATTGATCTTTTGACCTATTATCCGCCAAATCAGCCCAAAGGCTCAGGCAATGGGTGCTGGGGGGCACCCCGTTCCTTCTGGTGTTTCAGGCTGGCCAGCTTGGTTGGAGGGCAGACTAGGGCATGGCTCCCAGCTGCCAGGCTCTGGGAACATGATTCCCACATTCAAGGGTTGCACATGAGTAGAGTGTGGATTGTCGTTGATCTGCACACCATTGTTGAAACAGGGATTATTGTGTTGTCTGAACCCAGCTATGTTAACAGATCATGGTTTAGTAACAAGAACCAACCCATGAAAAGAACCTCTAGTTTGTTGCTGGACTGTCAGTCACCGTGGTTTGCTGTCTTGGCTGGGTTCAGACAGTACGATAACCCATGTTGCAGCAATAACCCTCATGGTTCAGCAACAACCAGCACTCAGGCCCGGAGGGTGGGTTACTGTCAGCCTGTCCTTTGCTCCGGAAACTAGTCTGTGGCCTCATGTGGCAGAGGACAATATCCTGAAACGAATGCTGAATAAGTTTCGACTGCCAGTCAAGCCACCAGCTTTCCATGGAAAACATCTTCCTTTTGCTTTAGACAGCCAAACCTGCCTGCTCTGCCTGTCTGAACAACAGAGAAAAAGCTTGAACCCAGTTCTAGCACATGGAACCTCTTGTACAGACCATGCTCAACTGCTACCGGTCACCCACCAATATTTGAACAACTGGGAAAATCGAAGAGGTCGGAAATGAACTCCATGGCTCATGGAGACATTCTAAGAGGGTGTTTGATCAGGTATGGGGTCCTAAAAGCGGGTTGTTCCCAGGAAACAGGGTCAACGGATGCACAGGAAGATGGAAGAGAAGACAGGAGAAGAAAGTGCCACTTTTCTTGTGAAAATGTGGGTCATTGGACAAGTTGCAACAAGAAGCCCAAAAGGTGCTAGGTATAAAAGCAGTACCAATCGCCCTGAGTCCAGTGAAATTTGGCTTTAAAAAATAGGACTTCTGTACGTCTGGAGCACGGTGATAATAAATCCTCGACCTTTTTCCTGAAGCGCAGCACTAACCATACAATGATGTTTCCTAGACCCACCACGAAGAATATAACGTTTGCAAAAATTGTTTTTCCATCAGGTATATTCAGGTGAAAAAACCTTTCAGCTGCTTTAGCAAAACCAAAACCATATTGGCATGAGCTTTTTTTTTTTTTTTTGTGTAAATGCCTTTACAACTTAAAGTCAAAAAGTAGTTACAGATAGGTTGCCACTGTCAAAGAACATGTTAATTTTTGTTTTTATAAAAAATTGCACCTACACACAGAAAATGTAGTTGTTTTCACTGAATTCAAACTCGATGGTGTTGGTTTGCTCGTTCACCCCTCCATCTTTGAGGCGGAGGCTGATGGGATGCTCTGGATGAGAGAAACATGTCTTGAAAGAAACACTATTTCTCTGAAGGGAAATCATGAATGCACAGGGCTGTCATCCCAAACCAGAGAAGGAAGAAAGCAAGCAAATGAGAACCTTCAGACATCTTATATATGTCCCACAGAGTCTCGCCTCCATTTTCCTGCAAGCAGTGACTGAAACGTTGCGGCTGGAGCTGTACGTTATGCTGTCCTGCTCTTTGGATGTTTTTTCCTTTCTACCTAATATCAAGCAGAGGGTAACACGGAAACCAGTTTGTATCTGCAGCTCCCCAGAAAATGCAATGAACGTGATTCTTGGCTGAAACCCATCACAACAATGAACAATAGAAAGATTAAGCACCAAATTTTCGCCGGAAACGCATCAGTGATGAGTTATTTCCATTCAAAGATTCAATCCACCATTTCCCATTGCTTGTTTTCCTTTTTTCTTTAGAAAATAGAAAAACATAAACCAATTGCAGAATGCTGTAAGATCACTTTAAGGCTCACACAAAAACAAGATGCATCATTACAAGATACAATTATAAATGTTCCCTCTTCACAGCCTTAAAATGATGCCTGCAGGTCAAAAAGCCCAATTACCAGTCAAAGCTTAAGAACGGTGTCTTTAAATTGACTTTCTTTTTGCTACTATGCTGAGTTTTATTAGGACTGAGAATGGTTCGAAGGGTGGGGGGTAGGATGGGAAAAAATAAGCTGTTATGGAACTTAAAAAAATACTTTTTAAGCTCTTCTTCTAGTTTGTTTCATCATGTTTTTGGTACTCAGTTTAAAAGTTAAAGGCCATCTAAAATTTCGTTTCCAGAAATCAAAAATATAAGTTTTGTTTGCAGGCTATTGACCCATTAGAATGAAAACCCATGCTTTCAAACACCAGCACCCCCAGTTCAAATATTTTCCACAGGCCAAGAAGTCCCGATGGAAAGAATCGATGGCTTCCCCATTCAGTTCAATGGAAGATGCCGATCTGCCCATTCAGTTCAATGGAAGACGCCGAGCTGCCCATTCAGCCTTTCAGGCACACGAGCCAACTCCTGCTCCAAGGAACTGGGCAGCCAAGGAACCAAAACAGACAACTCTGAGCTTCCGAGAGCTGGTAAGTCATTAGACCGTAGGGCCGTGGGTGCGGGTGCAAAGCTGGGTTTTCACTGGCTTGGAAAGAAATAGGATTACGCCCTGAGATTCCAACTTGGTACAGTGAATCAAAAAGAATCGCACCTCCTTTTCTGTGCGTCAGGGATACAGCATAAGACCCAAACACAGCTCAGTTAGGACCGGCCTCCGTGCCCTCCGTTAAGATCGCCTCTGCGCCAAAGCGCCGGTACGGCACTTCCGTGGCCGGGGGTGATCGTTTCAACCATTTTTGTGCCAATCTAATAAAAGTGCTGATATTTCCATTTCATCAGGCTTTTTTGTCTAGTTTGGTACTTTGAATATAGATTTGATAGATACATACACGTTTGTGTATGGGTGTGTCTATGCCATTAAAATCATCAAAAATTGTCTCATGAGGAAGGGGACAGTGCATAATGAAACTCAGCACCTAAGGGCATAAGGCAGTGGTAGGTTTTTTTGTTTGTTCGTTTTATTTTTATTATTAGTATTATTAGCATTATTTTCAATCAGCACCAATTCCTATCATAATGTCTTACACTTGGTGTAAGATATAAAACTCAGAGCTGGAGGTATTTATGTTTCTCCAAACTCTGAAACGTGGAAGTTTGAAATACTGGTTGGTTTGCGTTGTTGTTGTTGGTTTTTTTTCTCCTGTGCGTAAAAAACAAAAGAAAGTTTTTTCTTTTTGTTTTTACTTACAAAACATAGAGGATCCTTTTTTTTAAATACATACAGCAACCAGAAAGAAAACTTATTGGAAGGTTAAGTTTCATGAGCTGCGTTGACCGTAAACAATTAACCCACCCCTTCCCACCCTCAAACCCCCTCTTTTAATTTGTCGCCATCGTTGCGTTGCGTGTGACGCGTGTGTGTGTGAGTGTGTGAGTGTGTGTGTGCGTGTCGATGTGTGTGTTTGTTTCAAGGAGCTTTTAAAGTGAAGATTCATACTGTAGCAATTCATATAAGAGAGGTCCATCTCTGTATCTTATCCCTACAGCAGTGGGAGTAACATACTGAAGGATATTTATAGTCCTTCTCAACCTCCTGTCTACAAAATGAGCGTCCCAAGCCGGGTACCTCTTCCTTGGGATGTCTATCTTAATGAGAGGGCCTTCTGGGTGGGCGGGCCTCCCGGACGGAGTTGGCGGCACCATCGCTCTCACCTGGAAAACAGGCAGGCAGGTGTCAGCTGTGAGCTCTTCCTGCTGCTCCATCGCTGCTCTGGTAGGCGTGACCTGAGCCGCCCTGTACCCAGGGGCCTGGGGAGCCATGGGCTCGATGTCAGGGGGCAAAGGGATGCCCCAGAGCAGCTCGGCGCAACAAGAGCTGGCAAAAATCTTAGCTCTCGGCCCCATGGGATGCAGGACACCGTAATACAAGAGCATCAGCGCGATCCCCGCGGCGAAGCTAAGGAAGACGCAGCACAGCGCTGGCACGGCGTAGGAGTCAGTGGTGTCAGGATCTCTGTAACAATACCAGAGCAGCGTCAAGGCCGCGTTCTCTGTCAAGACTATGGTGTAATAGGCAAACATTCGGTATCGGGTCCGCCCTTCTTTGACATTAAACCAGCAAAAGATGTACACAATCCCTACCACCATGTTGAACAGGATCTCCTCCCATTTGGACATGCAGAAGTCTGTCCCGCCATGGATGATCCAGAAGGCCATGGCGCACCAGTGGACCACGACAAAGATCCCGAAGTAGAGCTGGAAGATGGAAGCAAAGAGGGCAAAAGAGATAACCCGGGATGAGATGGTGAAGAGGCGCCAGAAGAGGTGGATAAGGGCCCCTCTGTAGCTCATGCTCTTCTTGTCATCCCTGGAGTCCCGGAGCAGCTTGTGATAGGAGGCTAGCACCCAAGCCAGGGACATGAGGGAGGCCACAGAAGACACACCTGCCGGGAGAACACACACAAATCCACAGCGTTAAACGGGAGGCACAGGAAAGGGGCGCAGCTGCCTACAGCCTCTTCCCGGGGCAGGTGTGGTGTGGAGCGGGCTTACAGGGTGGGCCAGGGTGGCGGAAAACATCTGGAGGAGGAAGAGAGAGAGAGACAAGAAGCAGGAGTGTCATTTCTCGTCCGTCGAGGTGCGATGCCCGCGCCGAGAGCCACCCGGGGCCGCCGTGGGTAGCGGGTGCGGGGGCCCAGCCGGGGATGGCTCGGCCCGTGGGGGTTCTCCTTCTGGCTGGTGGTGCCCCCACGGGCTCCTCCGCTGTGGAGCAGGGCTTGGCAGGGCCGTGGTCCTCTCGCTGCCTATCCCCCTCGGAGGCCTCACAGCGGGGCAGCTGGTGGCAGCGGTCGGGCCCTGTCCCCCCGCTAGGACAAGCAGCCCCCGTGCCCAGCGAGGTGCAGGTCAGGCGGACTCTGGGCCTCTCAAGGGGTCTCCAAGCGACGTCCGGAGGGCGGCCTTTGAGCAGGAGGCACAAAATCATCAGCCCCAAGCTCCCGTACGACCATCCTGGGGCTGGCTTAATTCAGAGGCCGGGCTGGCCAACTGAGGCTCACGAGCCACAGAGGGGCTGGCAGAGCCCGACGTAACTTCTAACCTGAGCAGCCGGGCTGCGTGGACAAAAGCAGAGGATGAGGGATGAACCTGCCGCTGTGATCGCCGACTGTGGCGCCTCAGTCGGGCAACTTCCACAGAGCTAACTGGTGCCGCCTCGGCAATGGATTTTCCGTGACTCGCAGCCAAGATGGAGATCCACAAGACCTCTGCCAGCAGCAACTAGCTTGATGACAGCAGCTGTGTTATGTGTTTCTACGCTAAAGACATCTTAGAAGCGCAAAGGCGGTGGTTTGCCAGGATGGGGGCTAGGGATAGGATGGTTGCGGGCTTCAGCACTGAACTCCTGCCCAGGGTGTGGATTCTGCCACACAGCTACACAGGAACAGAGCGCGTCGGAAGGGGTCTCCCGGGCCATCTAGTCTGACCCCGGCTCCAGCCGGTTCTGCTCACAACATGCTCACGGGGTGCATGTCCAGCCTATCCTTGAACACCCTACGTTGTCTATCTCCCCTAAACTGGGGTTCCTCTCAATATTATTTATTTATTAGGCTCATATCCCTACTTGCAACAAACTCAAAGCAGTCCACATCATTCTCCTCCTCTTGCCCCCAGGCTTATCCCTACAACAACCCTGCAAGGTAGGCTGGGCTGGGAGATTTGCCCCGAAGTCACCCAGTTGCCTCCATGGCTAAGCAGGGACTCGAACCCAGGTCTCCCAAGTCCCGATCCCGTGCTCTTCACCACGGCACCACACTGGTTCTCCAAATATTCCAGTCCTCCCGGCTTGCCAGATTCCTCTTCAAACTCAGTCCGGCAAACATGTGTGTCTTAGTGTCCCTTTGTGTGTGTGCATGCATGAGGGTGTCCTCAGGCATCACAACAGGCACCCAGGGCAGCCCTCAGGGATGGTGACGCCATGCTGGAGCACAAGTACCCACCGCCTGCTCTGCCTTTCCCCTCCAGCAAGTTTTAGGGCTGTGGTTCAATTTAGGGACGGAAGGGTTCCTACCATCCTGTTTAAGGCCATCCATGCCCCAAAACCGCAGTCCCAGAGAACGACAGTTTGCACATGTCATTGGAGGCTTCCCCCTATAACAAGAGGAACAACGCTTGACTCGCTTCTCCAGAAAACGAGAAAAGGAAGAACCAGCTAGGAAAATCTTCTGCCATTCCTGCGCCTTGAGCCTCACCCCTCCGGTGTCCCTGGAGCACCCAAGAAAGTGAGGAGGAACCATCAGCCCCACTGCCTTGGGCATCTGAGGGCAAAGGTGTTTGTGGAAGGAGCCATAGACGTTTCCCCCGTTCTTCTGGTGGTACCAGAAGATGGAGGTCTCGGGGGCCACCAGACAGGGATGAGGGCCACACACCTGCAATCCCACGCCTACCTTCAGTAGTAAAATAGCTTCATGGGTGGAGAGAAACCCTCCATTTTTGCAGGCCAGGCCGTTTATGATCCGTGCGTTAAGCGGCCGTGTGGGTGTGCATTCCGCCCCATCAAGACACGAAACCTCACAAAAAATCTATATCGGGGCACTTGATAAGAATAGCGCTGCACAGTAGCAAAAGAGGAAGCCGTTGTCAAAGGCTCCGGGTAGGGTGGCCTCTTTCAGATTGCCAAAAAAAGAGGACTTGGAGTCTGGCTTTGAGCAGGGGGTTGGATGGCCTTCCCGATCCCTTGTGATTCCATCACTCTCGGATGCTCAGGTTCTGCAAGAGGCTCCCTTATACGTATAGGTGCAAATGCAGAGGTAATTATTGCAATGGACTCGAGAAGCAACGCACCTCACCGGCCTCTGCAGCGCCGCTGATGCTGACGGGTAACCAAGGCAATGGCCTTTATCTTTAAACCAGAATGGGACAGTAGAGCCCGTCCAACGGGGGGGGGGGGGGGGTTCCAACCCGGCCCTACAAAGAGAGGACTGTCCTCTATAACAAAAAGGACACCTGGAGAGCCCAAAAGACTTCAGGTTTGTTTCTCCCGAGTTTCTTTGGATGATGCTCGAGGGAGGGGACGCCGCCCCTTTCCCTACGGTTTTTCCAAGACAGTTCAGGGTGAAAGGGTGGGGAACACATTTCTCCGCTCACCCGCCAGCTCCCTCTTCCCAGACAAGGGTATCCTGGGGAGCGGGTGGAACCGCAGGTGGGGGGGCCGCCCGAAAGCAGCGGCGGCGAACTGCTTTTCCCTGGAGGGTCACAATCCGCTGCTATCCATCAGTAGCCGCTTTCAGGCAGTGGGCGGGGCTGAAGCTGGCAGTGGGCGTGGACAGACCCCAAAGGGGGCGGGGTTAGCCCTTTCTCTGCCTGCCACTCCTTTTCTTTCGCTATGACACCCTCATTTTAATTAATTAATTAATTAATTTCCCGATTTATATCCTGCCTTTTTCCTACAAAGGGCTCAAGGCAGCTTGCATCAATCTCCTCCTCCATCTTATCCCCACCACAACAACCCTGTGAGGTAGGCTGGGCTGAGAGTCCGTGACTGGCCCAAAGTCACCCAGTGGGCTCCATGGCTGAGCGGGGACTAGAACCCGGATCCTCTGAGTCCCAGTCCCATGCTCTTCACCACACCACACTGGCTCTCTCCTCTCATCCTCTCCTTCTCTCTCCTCCCTCAATCCGTACCCTCTTCTCTCCTGATGTCTGTGCTGCCCCACCCAGCAGGCTGCTGGGGAGGGGAAAATGGCTCTTCCCAGACTCACTGCTCTCCCGAGGGCAGTGGTGGTGAACCAGTGTGGGCACACAGAGCCCTCTCTGTCGGCACGGGAGCCAAGTCGCCCCAGCAGCCGAGCATCAGATAACAGCGCGCACAGGGGCCATGCGCATGGCCGGAAAGGAGTAGTGGCGCCAGGCAATGACATCACGAGCCGCTTTCCCATGGCTGGTCAGTGTGTTGCCATTTGCTTGGACTGGCTGTGAGTTTTAATACATTCGTTTTTATTAACACAAGATTTTAGCTTTGAGTTTTTTTTAGGAAAAATTGAAATTTAATATCTAAGATTTAGCAAAGAGAATAAAAAGCTGTTTGTATCATTGAAAGCTCTGTTATTGTGTTTTTCTTTTAAGACAAAAAGATGTATGAGTTGTTTTTAATAAACTAAAACCTCAATATTCAGGTGTTATTGCAGTGTTGGTACTTTGCGATAAATAAGTGGGCTTTGGGTTGCAGTTTGGGCACTTGGTTTCTAAAAGGTTCGCCATCACTGCCCTGGGGATTTCCATTCTCCACTGGAAATGGAGCTCTTCAGCAAGATCTGGAATTCCATTTCCAGCAGCAAAGGCTTACCTTAAGCAAAGGATTACCTTTGCTCTGCCTCCTGAATCGAAGCCACGCTCTGGAGCTGCAAAGCCACACTCCTGAGCCCACCTCACCTCCCAAAGCTGGCTACCTCCTCCGCCTTCGAAAATAAAGGAGGAATCCTTTGCATCGGGAGTTGAGCAACGATCAGAGAAGGGGCAGAGACTTTCTCCTATTTACTTCCCTCTTGGAAAGGCTCCCAAACCACATGTTGCTCCCACAGAGCACGTCTCTGCCCTTGCCTTGCTCCAGAGCTAGGACAAACCGGAACGCTGCTTCTTCGTAAAAAGCCTACGAACTAGGTGAAGCCCCCATTTTGCACGGTCTTCCCCACCTCCCACGCTAGAATTGGATCCAGTTAGAACATTTCTGGATCCCAGCAGTTCTCCACGCAAGTAATATCTTCCCCCGTCCACACCCAGTTGCAAGCGTGTCGCAGGGGGAGGAGGTGGCGGCGTTCTGGGCCTCTCCCGCAGCTCCGCATCTTACCTCCCGCTTCCTCGCCCTGAGTTCCTCGGGGTCAGCTCGGCGAGGCATGTGGCCCCGCGCGGTGCAGGGAACCTACCGAGCCTTTGCAAATGCGGGACCTGCCCCGGTCTTTCCACTCCTCCCCAAAACTCGCGCTTCGTGCGACACGTCCTGCCCTGCCCTCCAGAGCCTCGGGGGCCGCCTGGCGGGGGATGGTGGGCTCTGTAATCCAGCCACTGAGCCGGGGTGGGGGGCGTTGGAGGCGCGGCAGGGACACCTGCAGAGCAGGTCACTTACACGGTAACGTGTCTGCACGGTTCTTTTGGATCATTATGCAGAGCTGTAGCACCAATTGGGGAGCGCTCTCCAGGAAGGTTTCCAAGAGACGCAGCATGTTCACATCAGCATATTCGTACATCATAGCCCAGTAGAAGCGCCGCTGGTGTTCCTTCTGTCTCTGGCTTTGGATCCCCAGGTACATGGTTCGGATATACCTGGAGACAAGGAAGAAAGGACAGGCAGGGTGTGAGCCGGGGCGGGGTTGGCGCGTGTCCACGTATAGCTGCCTTCCACCTTGCTCCGAAAGCGATTGCAGACGCACTCGCCCACTCCCTGGAGCTCTTTTGCAGGAGGCACTTAAATAGGTTTGGGAAGGTGCCCTCGCGATGGATTTATTTATGCATCCCTTCTATTTATATCCCACCTCTCTGCCATGGCAGCTCCCAGGGGCCTCCCCTCCAAGCTCAGGCCAGCCCCAGGCCTACTTAGCTTCAATATAGCGGAGGCTTTCTTTGCCTTCAGACCATGCTCAGGATCCCTGCAGCATCCACCCGCTTCCTCTTGTGCCTTAGAAAGGAGGCAGGACTGAGAGGAAGGGGCAGGATGAAGCTCAAACAAACAAATAAATACATAAATACAGGGGACCGGAGCCCAGGAACTGGACCTGGGAATCCTATGGCTTGCGCCCCAAAACGGATTCGTTATGTTCCCCTGCTTTTCACCCACATCTTACTGAACGTTCTGCCTCCAAAGTCTTTATGGGATTAAGACCACCTCTTTTACACATGTCCTCCCCCATCCCCAGAGGTTTTCTTTCCCTGCTTTTCTGTATGTTGCATTACACATCCACTTGAGGGAAGTGTGATATGGCAAAAGTTTGCAAATACATGAGGGTTTCATGCCGATCTTCAGGAATACAGGAGAATTTTCTCATATGGGGGGAAAACCCAAATGCTAAAATGGTTGCACAGCCCGGGAGAAGGTCTTGGAGGGTCAGGATTATTATTATTATTATCATTATTATTACTACTATTATTATTATTAGAACATTTCTATGCCACCCCTTGCCTAAGCCTCAGGGCGGCTTACAACACAATAAGATACAATACAATACAAAATAACAATATAAAATTAAAATTAATAATATAAAATAAATTATATATATATATATAAACGATATAAAAGAAGTTATAAAAGAAAAGTTATAAAAGAAAAGAAGAAAAGAAAAGAAAAGGAAAGGAAAGGAAAGGAAAGAAAAGAAATCGACCTGGCCAGATGAATACAGGATGGTGTACAAAGTTCCCAGTAAGGACTCACAAGGAGACACTAAATGCCTCATGCCGAAAGGTATCAGCAAACTAACTCTGCAGATTTTCCTATCAAGAGAAATTAGTTCCTTTGAGAAAGCCCCCTTTTCCGCAGCCCCAGGCCCGCTCACGACAATTACCAACCAAAGCCCCTATGAGAATCAAAAATACATTTAAAAGGCCAAGCAAATTTTCAGCAGGATCAAGGAGTGAAGAAACTTGCTTCAAGAAAGTGATAAAAACATCAGGTAATGACAAGGTTGGAAGTGATAACGTTGGGAATGCGCCCAGTGGTGGGAACGGATTGTCCCCTACGTGTCTGGGTGCAAAATAGGGCACTTCTATGCATGGCTGCACCACCATTGCTCTTTCTTAGTGGGGACAGAGGCATCACCTCCCAACACATGCAGGAGCACCAGATGCGGCGCCTGGTGCCAGCCCATGGGCCTCCTTGGAGAACTGCTCTCCCTTTATTTATTATGAGGTCCGTATTCCACCTTTTTCCTACAAGGAACTCAGAGCAGGGTGGCGTTCCATGTGGATAAGTGCAAGGTCTTTTGCTTTTTTTGTAAGAAAAACGGTGCCAGAACTCAGGCAATTATTTACCTTTCACATGTAGTCAATCACTGTACACACACACACACACACGTCAGTTGTGTAATGAAACCTAACAGTCGCCGCCTGCAGTAAGCACTCAGTGCGCGACCACACAACCAGTCACAAGCCGAGCAGCGCCATCACAACCAGCGCGGACGAAGTGCGCACGCATCGGATTCGACACACAAGCAGCCCGCATGCACCGTTTTAATGATTTTGCCGCCGACCTGCTACGCCCGACAGGGCGATTCAAATCCACGTGGGCCAAACATCAAATTTTCAAAAGTTACTTTTAAAACTTGGAAAATCTGTTGAAAAAGGGTGCCGGAACTCCGTTCTGTGTGTTCTATGACAAAAAAAGCACTGGGAATAGGTATCATAAGTACAGGTTAGGAGAAAAGTGGCTGGAGAGCAGCACTTGTGAAAGGGACCTGGGGTGCTGGTTGACTGCAGGCTGAACATGAGCCAGCAGTGCGATGCGGTGGCCAAGAGGGCGAACGCCACCCTTGGTTGCAGAGCCAGAAGCGTGGCTTCTAGATCGAGAGGGGTATTACTACCACTCTACACGACTCTGGTGCGCCCGCAACTGGAGCATTGTGCTCAGTTTTGGGCCCCTCATTATGGGAAGGATACAGCCAGGTTGGAGTCAGCGCAGCGCAGGGCCACAAGGTTGGTGGCCGGTTTGCAGGGGAAGCCATATGAGGCGAGACTGAGGGAACTGGGTCTCTTCGGCCTGGAGAAGAGGACACTCAGAGGGGATCTGTTGGCGACATACAGGTATGTGAGGGGGTGTCACACGGAGGTGGGGAGAGACCTGTTCTCCCCTGCAGAGGAAGGCAGGACGCGCTCCAAAGGAGCCAAGCTCAAGGAACCATGGTTCCATCAGGATGCCAGGAAGCACTTCCTGAGAGTCAGGACCCCGAGGGTGTGGAATGGGCTTCCCCGGGAGGTGGTGGAGGTCCCATCAGTGCTGGTGTTCAAGGACAGGCTGGACATGCACATGGTGGGCATGTTGTGAGCAGAGCCGGCTGGAGCCGGAGATCAGACTAGATGGCCCGGGAGACCCCTTCTGACTCACTCTGTTTCTATATTTCTATGTTTCAAAGCACCTCACATCATTCTCCTCCCCTTTCTCTCAGTGCTATCCCACAACAACCCTGCGAGGTAGGCCGGGCTGAGTCTGTGACTGGCCCAAAGTCACCCCGTTGGCTTCATGGCTGAGCGAGGACTGGAACCTGGATTGCCCGAGTCCCAGACTTTTGCTCTTAACCCTGATGCCACACTGGCTCATAATAAAATAATGAACAATATAAATATTAAATAATAATGTAATAAAATGTTGTTGTTTGTTGTTGAGGGTAGTCCTCAGTTTGAAGGATTGTCCTGCCCAATTGCAGACTGGACCACACGAACAAAGAAATCTCCCAGCAACAAAATTCCATCCTACCATGATTTTTTCCAAAATATAATACTTATATCTCAGTGTGCATTGATTCATATCTCCCAGTCTTCATCCCAATCTTATGGAAATCAACTTTCTGGAGATATTGACTGATTGATTAAAAGCTTTTCTACCCCATCCACCGCCAGCATCTGGGGAGGGCTTACAAGAGAACGAGTAGAATAAAACAAAACACCACAGCATCCGACAATTGAAATAGTAAAACCTCAGTTAAAATCAATTAACATTAAAATGATGGGAAGATAAAAAGGTTTTCACCTGACGCTGAAAAGAATGTGTTGTAGCCTTTCTGGGGAGCGTGTTCCACAGTCGGGGTGCCACCACAGAGAAGGCCCTTCTCTGGGTAGCCACCCTCCTGATCTCCTTCAGGGAGGGCTCCTGGAGAAGGGCCTCTGCCCCAGATCTTAAGGGGTGGGAGGGCATATAGGGAAGAAGGTGCTCCTTCAGGTATCCCGGACCCAAGTCATTTAGGGCTTTATTGGTCATCACCAGCACCTTCAATTGGGCCCAGACTTCAATTGGTTACCAGTGTAACCAGTAAAGGACCGATGTTACGTGTGAATACCAAAACATATATTTCCCTTTGGTCTGGCAATTTGTAAGGAAAGGCCCACCCCTCAGGCCTGAGACACAGCCCAGAATTCCCCAGGCCAGGCAGCCTGGAGCTGCCATTTTAACTTCCCACAATGCATTGTCTCCATCCTGCCTGGGCATTATGGGGAAGTACTGCTTCTGCCAACCCCCTTCGGGGCGCCGCTGGCATACGGAGACTTCGGGAGAAGGCCTTTTGCCTCAGGCCCAGAGCAGCCCTGGATGCAAATACTGCAATGTTGGCAGCGGCTGTGGATCAGGCCAAATTATTCGTCCGTGCCACTCTGGTGGGGCAGCCGGCAACCTGAGCTCTTCACGGCATCTCAAAGCCTGGCAACAAATCCGTCCCCCTCCACCCCACCCGCCAACCTTCGCTTCACAGTTCCCTCTACATTTTGATCCTGGAGCCAACCAAGCCAATGAAAAGATCTTTGCCAGCCCTGCTTAATTATATACATTTTAAAGAAATACCACGGAACACGTGCCGTCTCAGGTTTTCAACTCACTTAAATTAGGGTCGCTTGGAGTCTGCAAGAATCAAACAGGATTTGCTTATGCTTCCCCGATGCAAAAAGCTGCTTGGGAGCATTTCGCAGGGAAGGACGGTGCCTTCTTCGAGCAGAAATGACCTTACGAGCCCCTGCTCCGGTCTGGCCAGAAGCTCCGGAGTGGGAGATGTTTTGCACCGTAAGAAGAAAGGCCGCTGTGTTGAGCTGCATCACAGGGCAGATGTGGACATCACTGTCAATTCGGGGCTGCCAGGACCACCCGCCATTCCTGGGCAGTGACCTGGGGTCCCCCTGGGTGGAGGGGGACCTTGTCTTCAGCCCCAAGGTCTAACTCCAGGTGGAGCATGGCCTATCCCACGCACCGGCCCTGGCACAAAGGCTTCATCGCCTCTGCTTTTGGCCAGCCTTCCCATCTTTCATTGCCCTGGACTGAATTCGGGGACCGGATTTCTGGTGAGCGAAAAGCTCTCCACTTCTTGGGAATGCTCACAGCAGGCTGGCCTGCAGCTGAAGTCTTCTGTGCCAGGGTGCGGGACAGCCGAGGACGGCGGCGGGGTAGAGACGCTACACGGAAAGGTGAAGAAGCGTCCTCATCAGTCTGCAAGGGGGCGGGGAGTGATAGAGGCTGGCCTTCCTCAACCTGGGGGCCAGGCGTTGGACTAGCACTCCCATTCTCCCTAGCCAGCTGGGCCCCCAAGCGGGGAAACCCTGGTTTAGTGAGTGAACCTCTGGGGCAGAAAGCCAC